AGCCCTGTGTAGCTGCATGCTAAATGATCTTTTGTTAAAGCGTAATAAGCAAATGCTTCAGCCAATACCTTTTGATTAGCCTTGTCTCGTGCTTTCTTGCTTTGTGGTAATCTTTATTCTGTATTCACTGAGATATTTGAATGCTAATCAATAAATCAAAAAAATATCAAAAATAAACTAAAATTACCTCCTAATGCTATATTTGACTTAATTAGGGTCGTATCTGTCGTCACTAATGTTTCCTCTGTTTCGTGGTTGGCATCTTCATGATAATCTACTAGAATAGCACACACCACCAAGCATAAATCAGTGCAGATGGAAATAATCTTCTTTTCACTATCGTGGTACTGACTGAAAAATACATGATAAAAACTGCATATTTTATATGTGCTGTTAACACATATCCTTTATAATGATATTCCTTATCTGTCACATATTGTTCAAATCATTTTCTTTCCCAGTGAAGTTTAATAAACTCATTCCCTTTTGATTTCTGTTATTTCACTCTTTCCACAGACGCTGTATTAGACGTGGCCTACTTGCTTAACATACTTTCCGTTCCCGTGCTTCACCTCAGTTGCTCTGCTCTTACTTCTGTCTGTCTTGTAATGAACGCTGTTACTATTTTGCTCCTGCAAACACCCAGAGTCCCCCCGCAGACATGATTAAAGCTTCTTCGTATTTATTTAAAGAGTCGGTGTCATTGTTCAGCACGAGCTATTCAGCTCATAGATTTCCTTCACCTGTGCCAGATCAATACAACCCATAGAGCCGTTATCTTCTTCTCGCTCGTTACCAGGACCTTTATCATCAGTCGTACGAGTCGGTGTGTGTGATGTTCGCCTCCATCCCAGACTTCAAAGAGTTTTATACTGAGTCTGATGTCAATAAGGAGGGACTGGAGTGTCTCCGTCTTCTCAACGAGATCATAGCAGACTTTGATGAGGTAAACTCCTCTCATATTGATAATCCTGGCTGTCTCAGTCACAATGGAAAAAGGACAAATGAAAAAGAAAAAAATAACCTTCCCCTGCTGCTTTTTTTTTTTGAGAAGCAATCACACTTGGTTATTATGCTCTAAAGTAGCAGGGAAAGCAGAAGAAAATGCCAGCGTTTGGCAGAAAGCCACCGCTATTTCCTGCTCCTCGTAGATGTAATATAATGGGCTCTTTTCCTCCTGCGCCCGCAGCTGCTGTCCAAGCCAAAATTCAGCGGAGTGGAGAAGATTAAGACCATCGGTTCTACCTACATGGCTGCGACTGGACTCAACGTGACGCCAGGACCAGAGTGTGCACAGGCAAGTCTGCATTCACAAAGAGCCACACAGTGTTTACTGCTGCTCCAGACAATCTGCATATCATTCAAGCACCAGTGATTCATTACTGCACTTTGAATACATCAGTGTAAGCAAATTAGATCATCGTTCAGAAATGTGGCAGCACTGTGCTTTGTTTAAAAGAAAAAAAAAAACCCTTCCTGATTGGTGGAAATGTGCTTAATTGACATTTGCAAAGCCCCCACCAGCCACCCAAACCCCCAGTCACTGTTGCTGCACCTGCATCTTCTAGCAGAGCACATAATGTAGTCTGCAGGGATAAGAGCGCTCTGCACTCAGAATCCTTGGTAATTTTTATAACAA